TCATTTCTGTCAAGCCTAGTGCCAAATACTGCCCAAGTAACATCTTACTTAATCCTCAACTATCTCTGAAAGTAAATCCTATTATTATCTTTATTTTACATGTGGAGAAACAGGCTCAGAGAGGTTAAGTAACTTGCCCAGAGATACACAGCTGTATTTGAATCCTACTCTCTTACTTGGTAAAAGTAAATGAAATAATATGTGTTATTCTTACCAGAATTCTCATTTTATCAGCATCTTTTTATGAGATCCTCATGACAGACATTCTTCCCTCTCATGATTTATCATCTTAAAGATATTCTTAAGGAGTTTAAATTAACAGAACATATATAGCAAACAGAAAATTTCTAAAATTATATTACACGGCCAAAAATATCTCCAAACCCTGATTTCAAAGTATGTATGAGTATTTTCAAATGTGTTGTCATGGGAAAGGGCAACCAGTGGTGAGGGGTGGGCGGGACTACCCTGATCTTCTTAAAGAAAGAACTCTGCTTTCTTGGTGGTTGCTCCATTATGAATTGACCAATCGATTTACTTTGCCCTCATGTCAACAGTTTGGCACTCCTTGGCTGAATCACCCCATCAGTGAGTGAGTGTCGAAAAACCTTTATGATTGTTTAATGAGGAGGAGCATTATCCCAGTCTCAGTGCCATCTATTAAAGCCTCTTTTCTGGGCTCTGGCTCCCAGACTGCTCCCTCTGCTGTACCAGCATCCTCCTCCCCTCTCCCTGGAGGCTATTCCACTTCCTTTCTGCTATTCCCTGTGTTTTTGATTAATAGAGAAACAGTCATCCCATCCACCAGCAAGATGACCTGGAGTTTGAGCTGTTACTGTTTTGTTTTTCCCACTGGCATCTCTATTCTCTTGTCCACACCCCTTTGAACAACAGAGCATGTTTATGGTGACACAGAGGTTAGTGTTGACAATGCAGTTGGCTAGGTTAAGAGGGATGGCATTGTGTGGCAGAGGCCTGGGAGCCATGGCTTCATCCTGTGAGTTGAAAGTGGAGGAGGCTTGACTCCTTGCCTGTACATGCCCCTTAGGCTCTGGCTAGCATATGCAATCATGGATCCCTGGTAAAACACAAAGGCTGCAGACTGGAACAGGGTGGTTTTCTAGAGGAGAAGCAGCTGCAAGCTGAAGTGTCTGCGTGTTTAAAAATAATAAAATGCCATTTTATTCAAAACAAGGACTGAGAGACAAACTTGAGTCATTCAGACTTAGGTATTTGGAAGACATAGTCCGAAAAATACAGGAAGTGAGACTATTCCTTTAATGAAACCACTAATGATTTTTATTGCCAATGATAAAATTCAAGATTTCAAGTGAAAATTAAGACTTTCAAGAAATTTATATTTGCCACGGTGGGCTTGGGAGCTTCCCAATTATTAAACGCTTTTTTGATGAGATCGTTGATGTTATTAATAAATGAAAAATTTGATGTTGTATAATAAAATGTGATACTTAGAATATCTACATAAATTAATGAATTAATATTTTCCAAATGATCAAAGCATGATGTTGCAAATGCATGCATTACTTAAGTATCCATTCGAAGTACAAAATGAACCAATGGATTTTAATGTAACTATGTATAAAAAGAGTTCATTTATGTTTCCAATTTTGTGTTTCAACTAATCTTTAAGAAATTACCAGAAGAATGGGGTCTTAATTAGAATAAGATATATCCCATGCTTGTATAATTACATCAAAATGTATTCTGCTGTTGTATATAACTAAAAAGAACCAATAAAAAAGATAAAATACTGCTCGTTGAGTTTTGGTGTAGTAGTAAAGAAAATATTCATGATTACTGAAAAGGCTATTAAAATTTCTTCCACTTTTCAAATACATAATTTTATGATGTCAAATTTTCTTCATATACTTCAAATGAAGTAACATATTGTAGGCATCGAAAGCAGTTCAGGTTGGAGAACCCAGATGTCTTCTTCAAAGTATATATTAAATAAATTTTTAAAGAATATATAACAATGCCATTCTTCTAATTGAATATTTGTTTTAATATTGGGAGTATAATAATTTTTCATAAAGATGTTGACGAGATTGTTGGTGTTATTAATGGGTTTGCTATCACTTTAATAAATTAGTAGATGAGATATTTTTTACTTTTTCAGTTTTAATCTTAAAATGATAAATATTTTAAGAGACTGCAAATTGGTGCAGCCAATATGGAAAAATCTTAAATGATAAATATTGATAAACAAAACCCATGTAAGCAGCAGTTTTGGGGTTCAAAATGAATTTTAATAACATAAAGTTTCCTAAAACTAAAAATTTAAGATAGCTACTCTAACACAGAAACACAGTAAGGAAAGTACTATATATTTATTGCTTTTTTGGTATGCATAAAAACATTGAACATTAACTGTGGGCATAGCACTATATCAGATCATGTAGGAGGAGATACTAAGAGAGATAAGACAAAGGTCTTGTTGTCAAGAGAGTTATAGTTTGGCATGATAGATGAACAATTATTAAGTAATACAAAGGAGTTTATATCAAAATGGGCAAAGGATTTAGGAATAAAACCAGAGACTCCGCATCTAATGAAAGAAAAAGTAGGCCCTAATATCCATCATGTGAGATTAGGCCCCAACTTTCTTAATAAGACTCCTTTGGAGCAAGAATTAAAATCAAGAATCAATAAATGGGATGGACTCAAACTAAAAAGTTTCTTCTCAGCAAAAGAAACAATCTGTGAGATGAATAGAGAGCCTACATCTTGGGAGCAAATCTTTACCCCTCACACATCAGATCAGGTAGAGCACTAATCTCTATGGTATATAAAGAACTCAAAAAGCTAAACAACAACAACAACAACAACAAATAATAATAACCCAATCAATAAGTGGGCCAAGGACACGAACAGACACTTCTCAGAAGAGGATATTCGATCAGTCAACAAATATATGAAAAAAATGCTCATCATCTGTAGCAATTAGAGAAATGCAAATCAAAACCACTCTAAGATATCATTTCACTCCAGTCAAAATGGCAGCTATTATGAAGACAAACAACAATAAGAGTTGCCGAGGATGTGGGGAAAAAGGTACACTCATACATTGCTGGTGGGACTGCAAATTGGTGCAGCCAATATGGAAAGCAGTATGGAGATTCCTCAGAAAATTTAGAATGGAACCACCATTTGACCCAGCTATCCCTCTCCTTGGTCTATACCCAAAGGACTTAAAAACAGCATACTACAGGGACACAGCCACATCAATGTTTATAGCAGCTCAATTCACAATAGCTAAACTGTGGAACCAATCTAGATGCCCTTCAATAGATGAGTGGATAATAAAAAGTGTGGCATATGTACACAATGGAATATTATTCAGCAATAAAACAGAATAAAATCATGGTATTTGCAGCTAAATAGATAGAGTTAGAGAAGATAATGCTAAGTGAAGTTAGCCAATCCCAAAAAACCAAATGCCAAATGTTTTCTTTGATATAAGGAGGCTGATTCATAATGGAATAAGGAGCGGGAGCATGGGAGGAATAGACGATCTCTAGATAGAGCTGAGGGGTTGGAGGGAAAGAGAGGGAGTAGGGGGTTAGAAATGATGGTGGAATGTGATGATCATTATTATCCAAAGTACATGTATGAAGACACGAATTGGTGTGAATATACTTTGTATACAACCAGAGACATGAAAAATTGTGCACTATATGTGTAATATAAATTGCAATGTATTCTGCTGTCATATATAAATTTAAAATAAATAAATATTAAAATAAAAAAAGAAATTAAAACAATTCAATTTCATGGAAACAAATACCCTGTTTAAAAAAAGTGGCTATAGTTAATAATTCTCTATTGTACACTTGAAATTTCTCAACAGAGTAAATCTTAAATCTTCTTAACACACACACACACACAAATGGTAACTATGTGAGGTAAGGGATATTTTATTTTGATTGTGGTACTCATTTAATAATATATACTTATATGAAACGTCATGTTATATACCAGACATATGTATAATTTTAGTTTTAATTATATTTTAATAAAGCTGGAAAAAAGATAATAAAAAAATTTGTATTTTTTCATTAAAAAGGGAGTTTATATCATCTTTCAGCAAATGTGCAAGAGCCTATGCTGAGAGCTGGGCCTACTATGATGAATTTGACATTCCCACATGTCCTGGTCATTTAATTACTGAGTCACATTGTTGATAAGCACTTCAAAGATGGAGAACCTGACACAGTTAGTTAGGAACATGGTTAATCTGTTAAGAACTGATGATAAGTTAAACAGGGAAGATGTCCCAGAAAGAGTCATATTAATCAGAGACCTCTAGGAAGAAGAGAACTGGGTCTGGAGAGTGGCTGGGCTGGGGGAAAAGTATTCCAAACAGAACAATGTGGGAAATAGACCTAACCAGGAAGACACTTCCTTCCTTGAAGCACCTAATGTGGTTGAAGAGAGGGAAATCAGCTGGTCTGTGATCAACATGTGTTCTTGGATCATGTTTTAAAATTCTCAGCCAAGAGAGTCTTAATGTTTTACTGTCCTGGGCAAATACCATTATTCCTTTATAGAGTTTCAATGCTTTGCTCTCCTAGAAAATATTGTAATTATTTATTAATGCTAAATGCTTTACTGGACAAACACTTCCTTCAAATAAATGTTCTTAGAGCTCCTATATAAGTGATCTTTGAAAGTTGGTAGCTTTGGATAAGGTCTTTTTTTCCTCCTTAGTGAGTATCACAGTGTCTCTTTTTCCCTGTGTCATGAATCCCTCTCTGTGCTAACCACAGGGCAGTTCTTGGAAGGGGTCTTTATTGCACTCAGATCTAAAATAAACCTATGATTCTGATATGTTAAAAAATCGGGTTAAACTGGTCTCTGAACTGTGGCTGGTAAGGAGTGTCCTTCCTTCTTGCAATGTAGTTCTTATAGAAGGTGAAGAAGCTTTATTTTCAAATTCTAAGTCTGTGTTTTTCTTTTATTTCCTCCCACAATATCAGTCTACAGAAATCAAAGAGAAAAGCAGGATTAAATGAGGATGGTTAAAAAACAAACCAGAACAACAAGAAAACCCTACAAAAGTAAGCAAGAGGCCATATTGTTGGGGGGGGGGGGTTTATAGATTTGGGTAAATATATTATTTTTACTCTAAAAACAAAGGGGAACTATTGAAGGTTAAGTTTGGGTAATGCATGGTCAAATGAGTGTTTTCAAAATGATAAATTTGTCTGTAGAGACTCGACTGGAGAAAGACAAGAACAAATGCAAAATTACCAATTGGAGCTATTGTTAGTCATCCATGTGAGAAATATCTTTACCTCAGAGACTTCCTAAATATGAGCACTGCAGACAGATTTGAGAGATTATTGCCAGGAGATACAATAGGGCTGATAATACATTGGATGCATGTGGGGTGTTGGATGCGATCATGTCAAGCCAGGTCCCCTGCTTATGTAATGCCACAGACAGTGGTGTTGTTCACTAACATAGGAAACAGCAGGAGGACTGGATGTGGAGCAGAAATCCTGAGCTCTGGTTTGAACATACTGATTTTGAGTTGCCAATGAGTGATCAAGTTGGATGTGCTAAATGGACAAGTGGATATGCAGGTTCAAACTTCAGAGAAGAAGGCCGGGGTGTGAAATATATGCGTAGGGTTCTCACTGTACCCATTGTAGTTGAAGCACTGGTAGTAGATGAGTTTGATGAAGCAGAGCATATAAAGCAGGCAGGGAAGAATGCTGGGGTACAGTGTTTAGGATTACTCCTAACCCCAGAGTGAACTAAACAGGGAAGTATTTGCAGAAATGCACATTGATACATTATTGCTATGATAAAGAAAAGGCTTCTTGAAGAAAATGGTTTTTAAATGTCTTTTTTTCCTGTTTATAAAAAGACAGAAAAGTCTTTTGCAATTACTTGACAGGCTCAGGACTCTTAATGAGAAACTTGCATAACCTGGTGGCTTATTGGGTTATGAATCTACATCACAGCAACATAAATGAACAGGAATTTTGGTCCATTTGCCAATGCATCCAGTTGGCTCAACCTCAGCGTATCCCTGAGATCTGTTTGCTCAGCATAGTGACCATGGGTTACCATATTTAAGAGCACCACTTTGGGTCCTCAGAAATGACATTGCATGAGTTGCTTTGCCAGATACCTCAAACGAGAAGCAGAAACAGAAGCATCACTGGAAGACAAAACTGTCCAGACCTTTCTTCTCTCCTCCACCCCTGTCATCTCACTTCTGCCAAGCAGTTAGAACATGCTGAAGAGATGACGGGGACAGAAGAGCACAATGGCCCTTGACAAATTGACCAAAGACTTTGTGGTTCCAATGAAAGAGGAGGTGGCAGAGCTCCCGAGGAAACATTGGATGTCCTTTTGGGAGGAGAGGCTTGGGCCTGGTCAGCTACTCTGGCAACAACAGCAGCAAAAATGGCTTTGGAAACAACCACAGCAGAAATGATTTTCAGAAGGGAAATCATACATACCCCAAAGCAAGGACTATTATAGCTTGAACAGCCCTGATCTGAAATCTGAAATCCTCCAAAATATGAAACGTTTAGAGCACTGACAGGATGTCACATGTAGAAAATTCACACCACGAAACTGTTTCATGAACAAAATTATTAAAAATAGTGCAAAATTTTTCTTCAAGCTAAGTACATAGAATTGATATGAAACATAAATGAATTTCATGTTTAGTATTTGGTCCTATTCCCAATATATCTCATTATGTATACACAAATATTCCACCACCACCCCCCCCAAAAATAACAACAACAACAACAAAATGCTAGAATCTGAAATCCTTCCAGTTACCGCATTTTGGATAAGGGATACCCAGGCTATACTTGTATGATGACTGTGAAGGTGAGGAAGGTGAGAAATGGCCAAGATTGGGGTCGAAGAGCCTTTCCCCAGTTTGCAGAGATACATTGCTGCGGTGGACCTCATGTGGACCCATGACAAGTTCAGGGGAGGAAGAGGAAATTGAAGAGACAAGAGTTGGGTGCAGAAACAAGAAGGATAATTTATAGCTCACAACTAAGTAGGAGCCACTCTTGACAGAAACCCTTGCCCAGGAGATGGAAGTTCTGAGTACAGGGAGGTGAGGAGATAAACTGGGGAACCTCAAGTAGATTCTTGAAATCTCACCCCAACCCCCACCAGCCACTGCAGCCCAAAATATTCCGGGTGCTGGGCCTCACTGGACAGAGGGAGGCGTTCTGAGGGCTTGGGATGGGGCTTCACTCTCCAGCACAACATACAACCTTGAACTTGAGCTTGAGCTGAGTTTCTCCTCCCACCTTGGTGTATGGTGTGGACATAGGAGCAGGGAGGGTAGAGCAGTGCTTGAATTTGGATTGTTCTGTATTAGAAACCAACAGTTTTTATGTTAATTTCATTTATTTATTTATTTATTTATTTTTTTTTTTTTTTTTTTTTACAAGTGTTATCTAACCACAATTAAATCCAACATCTTTATTCATAATCCCCAAATTCTGAAGGAATAACTGAATAGTTCTTGTCAGTTTATTTCTTCAATACAAAGTGTTTCTAAGATTTCAGCAAGAATAATGGTTTTGGCTTAATTCATTGTAATGACATTAATAAAGGATCTGTCTAGAGCTGCTGGATCCCAGTCAAAAGGCTGCTGAAGAATGCTTCATCCAAGGAATCCTCTAGCATCTCCCATAACTGGACTTAAGTCAGCATGCCAAGTTTAGGACTGATGAGGACAAAAAGTAAAGGAAAATCCCCTTTTATAGCAGACACTTTATATTAAAAAAATGACAATGGTAAAGCCATGATTGTACGATCAGTACAGAAGAGAACAAATCTTAAAAAGCTAAGCACAAATCTACTTCAATTTTGCTACTCTACCCTTCTCTTTTTGTAAAATAGCTTACAGGACATGCTGGACAGCATGACCTTTAAATATGGAGAATATTAAATTTACTAAGTATATGTCACTCAAGTTTATGAAAATTCTGGACAAACCTGTTGTTTTAGAATGATTCTGTGGTTAATTAAGCTCTGTTTGGAGGCACAAATACAATTTATTTCAATATAATAGTACTTACCAAATGAAACAAGGAGTTTACATACTTATCAAATGTTTCATCCCAAACAGCGCAATATAATGATGCTCTAAGACATACAAAATTAACTTAATTTACAGTATTATTGTCTATTATTGTCAAACTCGATTCAACAGAAACTTGAAAGCACATCATATTTGACTAGGTCAAACTACTACTGAGTTCAAATAATTGATATGGAAGTATTTTGGTAAAGTGCCCACAGTGAGAGCAGTTTAAAAAGCAGCCCCTGTTTTCTACAGAAATTGTGACAGTGAACACTCATCACATTCTCTGCAATATCACAAAGCACTCACACGAATTCTGGGGAGTGATACCCTGGACACACAGCTTATTTCACATTAGTGAACAAATCCAAAAATTTTTATAACAGTTCTGACTTTGGGCCAGAAGATAAAATATCCCATATTTACATATGTACAAACCCTAACTTCTAACCTATTAGTTCTAAAAATGGCTTTTTGACTTGTTTTCAGAGGAAAAAGTGTACAATGCACTTGTATTTGTGCTTCTGAATTAAGGAACAATATACATTAAGTGGAAAAAAAAAAAAAAGCTTGGGATGGTACTATCTACTTAAATTATGTACATGATCTTTGGATATCTGAGAGAATCAGTTTAACTGACCCTTGCCTTAGAGCAACTTAATTTTCTAAAGTTACCCAGGAAATGTATTCAACCATTTACAAAATCAAAACATCTAACATGTACTTTATAAAATCATGATCTTATTTACCTGCCTATTCTTCTACAAGATAGGTATACATTAAAAAATTTTGCTCAAAAACATAAAAATATATATTATTTCTTTGACATTTAGGCATATAAATATTTTACTGAAGATGCATCATCACTCAATAAACAAATGCAAAAACTGCTTTATAAAGTGTAGTTCTCTGCTAATTAGCAATATAAAATACAAAATGATTACAATATAATTAACCATTAAAGAGCTAAATTCGAGAGATTTGCAAACCAATACAGCAGTAAATAGCCCCTTGTACAAAAGTCCATTAAGACAAAGTCAATTTTGTAACAGATTACATAAAAATGCAAGCCAATAAATGCATTATAAATGCAAAAGAGAGCATTGCTTCATCAGCACATTCTTCAGTCTTGTTTGAACTAGATGCCAAACTTACTGTTCACTTTTCGGTTCATCTTGTTTTCCATTAAGTTCTTGATCAACTCTAATAAATGGTCTTGTAACAGCCAGGAGTGTTCTGATAAACCAAGAGGGATGCACAATAATTAGGGATTTTAGGTTTTTCCGTAACCTTCTATCAATTTGCTGATAACATTTTCTGAGCCAACCCAGACTGGGCATTTTTCTTCGAGTTGTTGCACCATTTAAATAAACTATCATGTAGTTTTCTGCTACTAATAGCTCCAAAGTGCCAATAACATACTTAAAGAGATTGTCCATCAGGTATCTATAGTTAGGTTGACCACTTTCAGGCATAAAACAGACAGCAAATACAACAATGGCATTTAATCCATCCCCATAATATCCTCCATGACTGATAACTTTTTTATAGGGCTCAATTGCCTTCATATCAACCCTGTGATCCTGTTCTCCAATCCTGAACATACGCCAGCGTCGTCCATCTTCTTTTTCTTCTGCTGCTGAATATTCAGTGATTGAGCCTTTCCTAATTACTTCTGTTGTTTTGGGTTTTGGAAGATCATCAAAAGATGGGGGGAGGGGAAACCTACTGCATGTTAGTTGTTTGTTTCCAAGACAAAGCTGTTAACGAAAATATCCTTCCAGGAAATGACTTCCCACTCAAACTCATTACTGTTCTCTGATGGTGTGTCTAAACCATCCAAGTCAATCTCCCCACTTTCATCCAAATCATCTGACAACACAGAGCCATCACCCGGATCCAGTGTCAAGCTAATCTCTGGAGCCATTAGTTTCTTTCTTACTTTATTTCCATTAACTTCTAGTAAGCCAGGCTGGCTCTCTGGTCCAGTTACATCTAGTATATCTGCTTCAATACTATCATCTTCTGGTAAAGGTATTGGAAAATCTTCATCTTGCCATTCTTCTTTCAGTTCTACACCTTCCATTCTCAGCCTGGATTCAATGTCAACTATTGACTCCTGATAATCCAGAGAGCCAATATCCCCGGAGGAAGCCTTGGCCCCCTCGTTCTCTTCGCCCCTCCAGGCCGGCGACGTGGGGCTGACGGCCAGGTCGCAGAAGGCGGCACCGAGCGGAGCCCGCTCCCCTCGGTCAGCGGTAGAAAGTCCAGCCCGGTTTCCCGGCCGCAGCTGTAGAAGAGACGACAGAAGCTGACCCGGACGCAGTCTGTTAATTTCATTTAGACCTAAGAGGAGTAATCAGATGATTTTTAATCTTTTCTTCCCTATACAATTTAAAAAGCTTATTTTAGGGACATATGCACTAACATTAAGAGAAAGATTTAATTTGGGCAACTTTGATTCTTAAAAACAGAAAATGGCTGGGATGTAGTTCAGTGTCAGAGGGTTTTCCTGGCATGTGTGAGGTCCTGGGTTCCCAGTGCAGCAATCAATCAATCAATCAAAAATTTAAAAATAAGGACAGAAAACAAGGCATGTGAGTAAATACTGTTTGCCTCATTATTGGAACTAAATTTCTTGGATCTTTGTAAAAACCAGTTGTATAGGCTCAGGAGGGGCTTAAGTCCTGTGTAATCACCCTGTCTCCTCCCCTTCTGCATGGTCATGTTTCCTAATTCCCCACCATCTCCCATATTTTCTGATTTCTTCTGGGTTGGGCTTCCTACTCAGAAGCAGCCCTAGTGTTCTGAATTCTCTAGTCCTGTGGATTCTGTCAGTAGCAGTCATAGAACCCAGGGGGCAGTTTCTGGTCTGTGTGCTAAAAAACTAATGAATTCCATTATCCTTATGGACATAAGTTGAGGAAACAATTTTTTTCAATATTTTTCATTAATCTTTTTATAAAATAGAAACTCTTGTGAACAAAATTAAGGAAGACTGTTAAAACTAAATGGTGTGTATATGTGTGTGTGTGTGTGTGTGTGTGTGGTGTGTGTTTAATTTTCTTTCCACTTTCTTTATTTCAAAAAAAAATTTTAAGCTTTAAGTTCATTCTAGGATGTTTGAGGAGAAAAATATCTTCTGAAAATAGGTCCCAAGCACAGGGCACCTGTACATATGTCATATGTGGATTGCACCCACCTCTTCTCCCCCAGCCTCTGCATCCTGGGTTGTTGAACGCTACTCCTCTTATTTTGCTGTATTTCTATAGTTAACTTGGTTTCATTTGGGTGATTCCTTTTTGAGGGGAGGTAAAAAACAGAGAAAATTTTCCTGAAATTTTATTTCACTCCCTCCTGCAAAAAAATTTTTAGAATTAAAAAAATTTAATGAATGTTGTGAGAGATGTAAAAAAAAAAGAACAAAAAAGTCAATCATAATTAGATAACTCAGAGATGATTATCATGAACATTTTATGTGCTTTTTTCTAGCCACTAAAATTATATTTTTGTATTATACATTATGCACCAGTGAAATCATGGAACACATATTGTTTAATGCCTTGTTTATTTGCTTCTCATGATAGTACATGTGACTTGAAAACAGCATTTGTACATGTGCATGTTATTCTATCATGTGGAAAGGGAATGCTTTTTAAATTTTACCCTAATAACATGATTCATAAATAGATTGTTCACTGAGTTCAAGAGATCAGACTAGATTTAGGTTCAATTTGGAATGGGATAAGATCCCATTTTGAGCAATATTTGTGTATAAAATATCTTGAGTTGAATTACAACTTTCCTCAAATTATGATTACTTTACATGGATGTGGTACTTGTTTTCTTTTTTAAAATTGAAATGTTTCTTCTATTTTATTCAAAACCTGGCACCTTTATGAAGAACTTTGCTTTTTTTTTTGGTACTGGGAATTTAATTTAACCCATGGGTGCTTTACCACTAAGCCACATCCCCAGCCCTTTCAATTTTTTATTTCGAGACAGGGCCTTGCTAAATTGCTGAGACTGGCTTTGAACTTGTGATCCTCGTGCCTCAGCCTCCCGAATCGCTGAGATTACAGAAGCTGTGGGTTGGGCTATAATATTGATTTCCAAAGACATTATTAAAATTATGTAGGATAAATAAAAGACTCACTAAATATGGGCAAAAGAAGCTGTCTTCTGCCATTTTTAGTTTTCTGTATTTTTTGTATAGAAAATTCCAGGGAGACACTGGGGTGAACACACATTTACAGAGTTGGATGTGGTCACACAGTACAGTATGCACAAATGCCTTCTGCATTTATATTCACAAATAGTTTAGGACATTAGACTTGGAGAGGCTTTATAACGAATAGATAGAGGGGAGGATGTTAGAAACAACAAAAGAGCCGCCCTGAATTGGGAGGATGTAGGAGAGGGCAGAAACCAGTACTGTTTCTAAAGAGGCCTGCAAAGTCGGCACCTGTCCTTCCTGGATTAGTGATGCCCTTGAGAATCCAATGCCCTGGGAGCATAGTTGTTCTTTTAGAACCTTGTAAAGGGCTACTCAAAGAAAACAGACCACTGAACAGTTGTTCCTTTTCTTCTGTAGCACTGAACAGGATGTTATCAGTGGCTAATTTTAGTTCCTTATCATTGAGACCAGATAGCCGTTTCCATTCCAGGTCTGAGCCTGGCCAAACAATTCATAACTGCTCTGCAACTTCCTCACCAAGACATTCTGCTTCACTGAGTTCACCCTAACTATGGCACAAGATAATATGTGTTATGGCTTTGTAAACTGTACAGGGCCACGTGAATGACAGTGAAGACTCTTTCTAGCAATTTTTCAAGTATAATAACAAAATGTGCAGGTATAATAATGAGATTTTACAAATATAAATAACCACAGATATGCTCCATATCTGCCAACTCTAAAAATAGGATACAATGAGAAGGGGCAATTCGTTTAAATTCCATCTTTATCTCTTGTTTGTGACTTACATTTGATATTTAAGATAATGATTTTCACTTGTTCTTAAATGAAATGACATTCTCATATACTCCAAGGTTGGTCTGATTCCCCTTGAGGTTTAATTGTTGAAAATATGCAGAGAGGCACCTGTCAAAAGACTGGCAAGTAATTCCTGGGGAGTGTGGAGAGATGGTGAGTCAGATCAGGCATATATCCTTCCTCCATAGGCTGTGACCCCAAGCCTTCCATTGCAATGGCTCGGTGTTGGTGACAATGTAGGAAACATATCTTTCCTACCTGCCTATCATGGGCCTGTGAGACACTGTGGGGCCTGGGCTGGAGTTTAATGTGAATAGTGATCCCCCTTAGACTTCTCTTGCTTGAGATCATGTGTCTCACTTTTAGTCAGTGCTTTCAGTACCTCTCAGTGACAACCGCCTTGGAGTATCCAACAAATGTGTAATTGGCAACCTATCAGACTGATCCCGCAATACAGTAGCTGATCACTCCAGGGCTCTTGTCATATTTCTTGATTAACAAAATTTTTGTGTATAAGGCCATTTGGTGTGTGTTTACTGAATGGAATGGCCTCCCAGCCCACTCTGTTTGAATTGTTCATTCCTTATCTTGCTCTTATTTAGGAATTTCCTTTCTTCTTGTTTTTTTTTTTTTTGTAACAGGGATTTAACTGAGCAGCATCCCCAGGCCTTTTTATTTCTTACTTTGAGACAGGTTTTCAATGAGTTGCTAAGGTTGGCCTCAAACTTGGAATCCTCCTGTCTCAGCCTCTTGAGTAGCTAGTATTACAGGCATGCACCATTGCACCTGGCAGGAATTCCTCTTAATTTCCTGGGTTGTGTAGTTGAATTAAGGAGAGTGAGATGTATACAGGACACACTGTATAATCCTGTATACAGTGAGATGAATACAGGATTATTCAGGATTCACTCATGTGCTTGGTACATTGCTTCCATTACCTCAGCTCTAACACCACAATCCTCCCATTTCCTTTCTGCCCCAACTGTGGCCTGAGACAGCCAGAGCAGCCTTCTGGCTCTCCTGCTATGCTTCTGTGGGTCCCAGTACATATAGCCTGAATTATTGTGCATGAAATAAAGCTTATGGAGATTAAGCCACATTCTGACTGACTTGACACGTGAGGTCAGGTGTGGAATTTTCTACCTGTGTAACATTATGTCAACGCTCTAAGATCTTTTGGATTTTGGTGTATTTTGGATTTGAAATTTCTGAACGAAGCATGCTCAACATTGATATCTATAAAATGGAGTGGAGGTGTGAGCACACAAGGTCCTCCTTTACCTTTGCACTTCCACTTTGCAGTGCATCTATTGGGATTGAGATCTCTACCAAATAGGCTGTTGGGTTCCTGGTTTCCCCTACACCTTTGTAAATATGTTTAATGTTTCCTTTGGAAAAGGATCTGTAGTCTTACACTGAAACTGCTGTTTCTGTGTTTTCTTAGGAGGTTGTGTTCTCCTATTACCTGTGCACATGTTTCTTACTGTTTTTGTAAAGAAAAAAAATTCTTGAGGCTTAAAGAGAGAAAATGGCTGAAAAAGGCATTCTTTGTGTTGCACATTGAACAGGTGGCTGCACTGTAGAGAATTCTCCCTTCCTTCCAACATTGATATGGAACTGGGAGCAGTTTGAGAAAAAAATGAATAGCAACAATTTGAGTTAACTAACAATCCAATGTTGTTTAGCAGATCTTTCATGTCTTTTGAAAAATGGTTTCATTCCTAACCTTTGAGCTCTCATGTGCTCTGCTGGGGTTTAGGCTATGTGTTGTGCTGCCCATGGAAGCACACATCAGCTTCCTGAGAATAAGCCATGGTGTGTCTGGGGAAATGTTGAGGCTGGAAGGTGGGGAAATCTAGATGTCCAAGAGACAATGTGACTCTGTACTTCTCAATCACATCACTTCCAACAGTGGAGCTCAAATGGATAGTTCTTTGGGGTTGTTAATAAAACAATGATTTATGGTCCTGGCTTATCATGGTGGTTATGTCTATGAATTTCAGAAGCAGGGGTTCAATGAATATGCAATTATTAAGTGCCAACAGGATTGAAAAGGTGTGGGTGCAACTGGTGCAACTGATGACTAGAGGAAATCCAGTTGTGATGGAGTATACAGATCCCTGCATTTTGCTTTTTTTTTTTTTTTTGGTAATTATGCTTCTACTCCTGTGTTTGCCGTGTCCATTTGCTGTCCATATTGATTCTCCAGCACAATACATTGCAGTGGAGATAGATTTGAGAAATACATTAAAAATATTTGCCAAAGAGACCAATTTTTCAGGAAAATATAATGA